GTCTCCCTCTGTGTCTCTGTCTCTGTCTCCGTCTCCCTCTGTGTCTCTGTCTCTGTCTCCCTCTGTGTCTCTGTCTCTGTCTCCGTCTCCCTCTGTGTCTCCAGGTGCCCATCACGTTAGGGGTGATCCTGAACTCGTACTTTGACGTGCGGTTCAACCTGCTGGGGACGGTGTTTGCATCACTGGGTGTTCTGGTGACGTCACTTTACCAAGTGGTGAGTTAATATACACACTGGCAGGAAACGCCTCAGAGACAGGAAATGATAAAGTGACTTCTGTGAGATTAACAAGAATAAAATCTTTCTGTCTTCCTGCCTGTCTCTGTCTCTGTCTCTGTCTTTCAGTGGGTTGGGGCTAAACAACATGAGCTCCAGGTGAACTCCATGCAGCTTCTGTACTATCAGGTAAGACTTAAAATTTAATACTGATACTGTAACTGCAGATATTATTGTGACTGTAACAGGTCAGGGGTCAGTATCTCCTGATGGAGAGTCTTATCACTTTGTTTTCTTCTGCACAGTGAACATTGACTTCCTCATACTGACAGAAGCTGTCTGAAACTGCTAATGACTTACTGATCTTGACCTGGGCCTTAATTTAGGACATTTATCCCTTAATTTAGGACTTGTTGGCCTTTAACCCAGGACTTGAGTTGGGACTTGTTAGCCTTTAATCTGGGACTTTGGACTTGTTGGCCTTTAACCTGGGGCTAAAGTTGGGTCTTTTGGCCTTTAATCCAGGACTTTGGACTTGTTAGCCTTTAATCCAGGATTTAGGACTTGTTGGCCTTTAATCCAGGAATTTGGACTTGTTAGCCTTTAACCTGGGGCTTGAATTGGGACTTGTTATTCTTAAATCCAGGACTTTGGATTTGTTAGCCTTTATTTCAGGATTTTGGAGTTGTTGGTCTTTAACCTGGAGCTAGAGTTGGGACTTGTTGGCCTTTAACCCAGGACTTTAGCTGGGACTTGTTAGCCTTTAATCCGGGACTTTGGACTTGTTGGCCTTTAATCCAGGACTTTGGACTTGTTGGCCTTTAACCTGGGGCTTGAATTGGGACTTGTTAGCCGAGACTTGTTGATTATGACCTGGAACTTTACTTTGGACTTGTTCCCCTTAATGACAGATCTGACCTGGAACTTGTTCGTCTTAGACATAGACTGTATATAAAGATGGACGACATGACAGCTCCCCAAAAGGGATCGCCCCCTGGCGGCAGACTCATAAGCCCCACCTCCTTCATGTCAGCAGATGGGCCAAAACTTAACTAAAAACTCAAAGTTCACCTCAAATAAACTTTTCTCAAAGATGCTTCCTGTCACTTTAGGCAGTTAGTGTATATACAGTCACTGGTCGTCACTTGGGACTTGTTGATTTTGACCTGGGACTTGATGTGACACTGTTAAATAACAGACAGGTAAAATATTTGTTTGCATTCAGATCAGCTCTGTGACATCACTCAGTATTGACACAGTGACTGTATCAACATCATGTAACGTTAACACTGTCACAGTTTCCTGTTTGCATGAATATATAATGTGATGTAATGACCTGAGTTCTGTCTGTCAGGCTCCTCTGTCCTCAGGCTTCCTGCTCTGTGTCGTCCCTCTGTTTGAACCACTGACTGGAGACGGAGGAATATTTGGACCCTGGTCTCTGCCCGCTCTGGTCAGACTCCACATTACTACTTAAACCTATGAACATCTGGCTCCAGGCTGTTATTGGGATGATTCTGTACGTTGTCCTGTTGCCAAGGTAACAGTGTTCTCCTCTTGTTGCCTAGGTGACGGTGCTGTTCTCGGGTGTGGTGGCGTTCCTGGTCAACCTGTCCATCTACTGGATCATTGGAAACACCTCGGCTGTCACGTATCCTCAAATATAAACAGACCTCTGAGCGCTGTCTGTCAGGGTCCAGGTTCTTCAGGGCCGGTGTGAGGGTTCCAGGGTGTTAACAGGTCTGTCAGGGTCCAGGTTCTTCAGGGCCGGTGTGAGGGTTCCAGGGTGTTAACAGGTCTGTCAGGTTCTGTTAAGGTTTTAGCACTTTTTAAGGAGCTTTCTTATCTTAGTGGATTTCAGAACCTCTTTGGGGGTCATTGACCTTCTTTCTAGGGGATTTAGGGGTTTGAGGGTTTTTTTGGGGGCTTCTGGTTTCCTTTACGGTTTCTTTGGTTTTCCTCGGGAGGGTTGGCGGATTTTTTGAAGAACCTCCCAGTCATTAAACAAGGGTTTCAGAACTTCTAGAGAAGATTTCTGGTGTTCTTGAGGGACACTTTGGTCTTCTCTTGGGAACCTAATGGGTTCAGGGTGTTTCTGGTCTCCTTTAAGGTTTCTTTGGTTTTCTGCAGGAGGTTTGATGGCACTGTGAAGAACTTTTTGGTTTCTTAAAAGGGTGTCAGAATTTCCAGAGAAGATTTCTGGTGTTCTTGAGGGTGTCATTGGTCTTCTTGCTAGGGGATTTAAGGGGTTTGAGGTTTTCTTGAGGGGGTTTCTGGTCTCCTCAAAGATGCCTTTTGTTTTCTCCAGGATGGTTGACAGATTTGTGAAGCGCTTCCTTGTCACTTGACAAGGGTTTCAGAACTTCTAGAGAAGATTTCTGGTGTTCTTTAGGGGGTCTTTGGTCTTCTTTCTTGGGGACTTAAGGGGTTTTGGGTGTTTCTGGTCTCCTTGAAGGTGTCTTTGGTTTTCTCCAGGAGGGTTGACGGATTTGTGAAGAGCTTTGCGGTCATTAAACAAGGGTTTCAGAACTTCTAGAGAAGATTTCTGGTGTTCTTGAAGGACTTTTGGTCTTCTTTCTTGGGAACTTGAGGAGTTCAGGGGGTTTCTTTGGTTTGCTGCAGGAGGTTTGACGGCACTGTGAAGAACTTTCTGGTTTCTTAAAAGGGTGTCAGAATTTCCAGAGAAGATTTCTGGTGTTCTTGAGGGACCTTTGGTCTTCTTTGGGAGGGTTGACATGTTTGTGAAGAGCTTCCTGGTTACCTGAAAACGGTTTCAGAGGTCTCCTTGAGGCTCATTGGGTTGTTTGGGGAGGTTTGCGAAGAGCTATCTTACCCTGTTAAAAGGTTTTCAGGCGTTCTTGAGAAACTTCCTGTATTCTAAAGGGAATCCAGTCGTCTCCGTCAGGAGATTTCTGATCTCACTGAAGGCGTCACTGAACCTTTGAGGAGGTATTTGAGTATCTGTTGAAGTTTCTGGTTGAGTTAAGGGGTTTCAGGTAGTCTTGGGAGTTAATTAAGGGTTCCTGGAGGTCTTCAGGAAATACTTTAAGATGTTAGATTTGAATATTTTCGATGTGTTGTTGTTCTCCTGACTCCGGCTTGCAGCTACAACATGTTTGGTCATTTTAAATTCTGCATCACTCTGATTGGAGGATACCTGCTCTTCCATGACCCGCTGTCCCTGAACCAGGTGAGTCAGCTGTGGTGCTCTGATGATTCAACCTTCTGGCTTCAGTCATGTCTCTAAACCCTGTCCTCTGTCCTCCCCTCTGTCTGTGTCTCAGGCGTTTGGGATCCTCTGCACTCTGGCTGGCATCCTGTCCTACACTCACTTCAAGCTGGCTGAGCAGGAGGAGGGGAAGAGTCGGCTGGCTCAGAGACCGTAGGCAGGTTCACCTGTCAGTCACCTGCACAGACTCCTGACAGGCCACCGGCTGCACAGACCTCTTTATATATTTTTATACTGCTATGAGTACTTTTCAGGAGAGTAAAGATTGTCGTCATGGTTCACCGACACGTCGGCGCATCGTTGGCTCTTTGCTCTCCTCCCTGCGGCGGCTGCAGCATGAAAAGCTTTGATAATTAAATATTAAACCATCTTTGTTTCATCCAAAGCAGATATACGAACACTTTATCAAACAGCTGTCACTCAGACTGATGCAGGAGGGGTTGTGCTGTTTGTGGCGAGCTGTTAACGGGGTGGACTACAGGTTTGTGTCATCACAGGGTGGGCGGAGTTACAGGACAGACTGTTCAAGAGCCTTCGAGCAAAGCATCAAACCATCTGCTGCTGGATGCACTTGCTGCCGTCACAACAATATAATAATGATTAACCCTTTGAATCCTGGAGCGATGTCACTTTACGGCTTTCATGAATATTGAACCCTGAGTGAATCGATTACTTTCAGAAACATGGGGAAAAATAGCAACGAGCAACTTGGTGAGAAATGCCCGAAAAATTGCAAAAAATTAATAGATTTAGAAATTTAAAAAATAACTAGGGAAAAGCTTTATTTATAATTATTATTATTACATTTTAAAATTATTTTACAGAATTGTTTTAAATTTTTTAAACTTTTTTCAACTAATTTTCTTGTTTTTCATTTTCTCTGTTTATTAATGTCTTGCAAATTTTTTGGGTAATTTCGTCTTTCGTTTGTTGCTCATTGCGTCTTCCAATATTTTTGAAAGACATGCCAGTTTGCTCGGGTTTCAGAGGGTTAATAAAATGCGAGCACAAAATGTTTCAACGCGGTACTTCATCCTCAGTGTCTGTACTTCAATACTTTTTTGATACCACGTGTTTAAAATAAAACGATCTCTGTGAACTCTACATTCGATCATCGATTCATATCCAGAGTTTGTAATAGATTTCTCTTTTTTTAATCGAAAGTGTTTACGGTCTCGTTCATTGTCATTTTTATACATTTTCTTCTTTATTTTTCTTTTATTTGTAGCATTTTTACAGGACTGAGGCTGTGATGAGGATTTTATTACATTTTTATTTCCAGTTTTTTATTTCCTTTGTGAGAAAACATTTCAGGAGGCGGTCTGATGCACCGTCTCTGTGTGGACGCAGCAGGGACGAGGTCACAACAGGATCTAAAGTCTGTATCAATACAGAGGTTCAAACTGAGCATGCTCAGTAGGTCTGAATCGTCAGTGCAAAACTCTCCCTGTCGTCATTTTTACTTCACTGTGTTCAATGTTCTCAGTCTGCTGAATAAAACCTGATGTGATGACTTTGCAGCTGTTTGTTTCTCTGCTGGTTCACTGGCTGTGGAGACTTTCCACAGATATAGACGTGTTCAGATATTAGTCCGTTTACTTCAGTAAAAGTACAGAGGCATTATCAGCTCAAGTATCAAAGCAAGGCACAAAAAACTTCAGTTGGAGCTTCATTAGTTTAAACATCTCTATATACAGCTCAGTCCAGTGACTCAGCCTCAGGGTCCGACCCCTCCAGCAGCCCAGGCACCAGAATAAATGCCAGCATTGTACATTTCTGTAAACCATAAATACTGTAAGTTATATCTGAATGAGTTACAGTCTTCTCTGGTGCTCATGGTTTCAGTAAAATGAACTGAACCGAGCTAACATTTAAACATTCATATGTGTATGTGAGATCTGAACAGCTAACTAATGTTAGCTCGAGTGGGAAGTCAACAATCTGGTTTTATACATTCAAAGAACTTCTATAAAAATGAGCTGCTTGGTTACCAGACCAGGCCTCTAATTGAGACAGGCCTTTATTTGTCTAAATGTGTAACTACACTGAGCTGGTAAAAGGGACTGGGTCGTTAATGTGGGACGAGGCTTTTAATTGAAGTTTTACAGCATATTACATTTGCACATGGAGGATGGTGTGACACGTCAGAGCTGCAGACACTGTTAAGACCAACAAACTATAAAACTAGTTGTAGTTGTTTGATCCTGTCACTGTTTTTCCAGCAGCAGCAGAGTACCTGAAATCAGGTATTTCAAGACAAGTCAAAACATGACCTTTTCCTCACCATAGACAGGTGGTTTTTGTGCCTTAACATCATATTAACCACAGCGTTGTTGAAAAGGAAAGTTTCAGTGTGTGTCACTACATAATAACATACAAATGTATCTGTGGTCTGCAGAAATGTACGATGCCAACATTTATTCTGGTGGTTGGGCCGCCTCCAGAGAGTCAGCAGATAAATCTGAGGGGTCGTCTGATGATTAATGAGATAGAAGACGAAGAAGAAGAAGACAACAACGAAGAGGACGAAGAAGACAACGAAGAAGAAGAAGAAGATGAAAAAGAAGACGACGACAAAGAAGACAACGAAGAAGAAGATGAAGAAGACGACGACGAAGAAGATGAAGAAGAAGACGAAGAAGAAGATGAAAAAGAAGAAGACGAAGAAGATGAAGACGAAGTAGAAGACGAAGAAGACAAAGACGATGAAGAAGACGACGACGAAGACAACGAAGAAGAAAAAGAAGACGAAGAAGAAGACGAAGAAGACGACAACAAAGAAGAAGAAAAAGATGAAAAAGAAGACAAAGATGACGAAGAAGACAAAGACGATGAAGAAGAAGACGAAGAAGACGATGACGAAGAAGAAGATGAAAAAGAAGACGATGAAGAAGAAGACGAAGAAGAAGAAGACAACAAAGAAGAAGAAAAAGATGAAGTAGAAGACGAAGACGAAGAAGACAAAGACGATGAAGAAGAAGACGACGACGAAGAAGAAGATGAAAAAGAAGACGAAGAAGACGATGAAGAAGAAGACAACGAAGAAGAAAAAGATGAAGAAGAAGGCGAAGTAGAAGACGAAGAAGACGAAGACAAAGACGATGAAGAAGAAGACAACGAAGAAGACAACGAAGGAGATGAAGAAGACGAAGAAGAAGAAGAAGAAGAAGAAGACAATGTAGAAGAAGAAAAAGATGAAAAAGAAGACGAAGAAGAAGATGAAGACGATGAAGTAGAAGACGAAAACGACGAAGAAGACAAAGACGATGAAGAAGAAGACGACGACGAAGAAAAAGATGAAAAAGAAGACGAGGAAGACGACGACGAAGAAGAAGATGAAAAAGAAGACGAAGAAGAAGACGATGAAGAAGACAAAGACAATGAAGAAGAAGACAAAGAAGAAGGTGACGAAGAAGGCAAAGTTTTCAGTTTTTGGATTCCTCTTTGTCCGTTTTAAAATGTTGGAACATTTATGGAAGTACTGTTTAAAACCTTAAACAGTTCATTGCAATTCAAAATCTTGTGTTTTCCTGTCACACATCATCTGCAAATAACGAGTAACAGTCGCATCATGTAAATGTAGAGGAGGAAAAAGTACAGTTTTTCTCTCTGAGATGTATGGTGGAGCGAAAGTATAGAAAACAGAGAACGGAAACACTCAAGTACAAGTAACTAAGTTTAAAGTGAGTAATCGTATCTGTGAAGGAATCTTGTGTTCCAGCCTTCAGCCTCGCTCAGTGAAGGAAGTGGGCGACAGTTATAATTAAGGCAACAGTCAGGTCAGCAGGAGGTCAGGCTGCTTGACCTTTGTTATGAACACACTCCATCTTTGTCTCCCAGTCGTGGCAGAGGGAGCACAGCTGACCAGATAAGGTGCCTAGCTGGCTGTGTTGCCATAGCGCCCAAGGTTAAGAGGAGGGGACACGGCCCTGTGTCTCAGGCTCAACAGACCAGAGTCTCTGTATAGATATGTGGGTTTTGTTAGAGACAGTGGAGGTGATTCAGAGCCAGGTGAGCAGGCTGGTTGGTTAAAGTCAGTGACCAATAGAAACGTCACACAGCCAGAGATCAGGACAGAATTTGGGAACGTGGAGTGACTCACAAGGGAACACTGTTTGGGTTAAAGACAAGGACACATGGGCGAGGACACCCTCAGAGTCTGTGGACACTGTGTTACGCTCTGTGTGTTCAAATGTGATTCGCCTCAAACGAGCCTGCGTTAAATACTGTGTGAGATCCATCATAGTCTTCCTCAGCTGTTAAATCATCAGCTCTGATTTCTTTGACAGTACTGAGTTGGGGCCCATCCCAATACCCCCCTTAGCCCTACGCCTACATTTGCTCGTTCCCGCGAGGGGTAGTGGTGTCCCAATTCCTTTTTGCGTGTAGGGGTAGGGGGCGTAAAACTAGCCCTTCGGAGCGAGGGATTTCAGATGCTGACTTGCCAGCAAGGGGTAATCGTTGCCATGGCTACCACCGAGCAAGAGACGGGAAAAAAAGTTCATACATGTACGTATAATTTCGCAAATAAACATGGAACTTTTGTAAAAATGTTTTTGAATAACTGTGTATTTGTGTATAGAACGGTATAACATTTTTTTATCGCTATTCACGATGTCTAGATTGGAGTTGACAGAACTTGCCAGCTAGCTAACGTTACCGTCCTCAGGTTGCTTGTTAGCTAGCTAGCTAGCTAGCTAGCTTGCACTATCTGGCGTCTGTCATCTGTCCTGTTCTGCAAAATTGTCGGACTTTTCACATTATGATAACACGCCAGCTAGTATAACTATGCTGCCTCGTAATGTTAGCTGGTTAGCTAGCTAGCAGAAGTCCCCTGTTGTCTGTCGTTCATCAAACGAAGCATGATGAATGCGGCAAACGCGATCGGTAGAACTCAATCGGAGACTCCATTGTAGATGCAGGGTGGAAATGTAGATGACTCGCAGCTTCCTGTTTAAAATAGTTACGTATGCGTGAACGTAACCGAAGCGGTGACGTAGTGAGTGGTGTCCCAATTCCTAGGGAAAGATTTCTACCCCTACCCCTCGTTGCATCATTTTGAGGGCCAAGGGGTAGTGGACAAGGGGGGGTATTGGGATTGGGCCTAACTCCTCAGCCCTGCAGACGTGATGTTCAGGCTCGCCTCGAGTTAAAGTGTAACAGTAACGAGCCAATAAACCTGCCGTAGGTACAGAAGTCAAACAGAATGAGAACATGGTTTCATTTATTATAAACACACCAACCGAACAGAGTTTAACTGAACAGCTCCTCTGTGCAGCTCTCAGTGCCGCCCTGTGTGTGTGTGTGTGTGTGTGTGTGTGTGTGTGTGTGTGTGTGTGTGTCAGTGTGTGTTTCATTAACACTGTGTCAATAAAGCTACAACAGCAACCCTTGTTCTCACTCACACACACACACACACACACTCAGTGTGGCAGCAACTTTCAGATGAATGAAGGATTTGGAAAAAGAGAGTGTTTAAAATATTTGTCGTGTCCTGAGGAGGAGAGTCTGAGAGCTGCTGTAACACGACCTCACTGAGACTGTTCTGTTTCTCTGGAGCTCCACTTTAGTTTAAACCCTTTAAATTCTAATTTAATTACATTTCAGCTTCAGTTTGGTTTGTAACAGCCGTTCAGTTAAAGTTACATCCCACGATTTTGTTATAAAAGCCCAAAGAACAACTGCTGCTGCTACTGGTGCATGTTGTCAGTGGCAGAGAAGAATTCACATCTTTCCTTATGTAAAAACATCATTATTACATAAAATAATTGTCCTACAAGTAAAGGTTCTGTATTGAAAATGTTTCTAAACCAAAGGTATGAGTGCTTTTGGCGTAAGAAAAAAAGTTTCTACGTCGAAAAATGGTGGCTTCTTCTCACACCCAGAAATGAATGAATGAATGTATTTTCAGTCAGGCAGAATCAGTGGCGCCAACATGAGGGGTCCTTCCGCCGTTCACACAGAAACCGACGGTAATGACCGATGTTTGTTATGCTACAACTAGCAGGTAAACACTTTCATGTTTCAGTGATATTTACACGGAAGTTAGAGCAGCTAAATGTGTATTTATGGTGAACATGATTTGAAGATGTCGCTGTGAGGAGTTAACACACACTAACTGTCAGTTTAACGCTGTCAAAACGTTTGTTTACATCCGTTTCTGTGCGTGCAGTCAGGTGGCTAACGGCGCTAGCTGTGCTAATGCTAACTCTGATTCCGTTATTAATTTATGTTCACATTGAAAACGTGACAGCGTTTCAATATGGCCACGAAGCGGACTGTCTTCTTAACAGCCAACAATAAACTGATTTGTCGTCCGTTGTATTGATTTAAAAGAGAGCTAACGTGCTAACCAAGCTAACACAGCTAGGCTAGGTGGCTAACGGAGGCTGTCTGCAGCGGCGCTGCTGTGTGGGTGTGTATGAGCGGCTGGAGGATCACACTGTGGGTGACTTGTTTGAATGCTACTTTTAACGAGTCTCTGTCTTAAATATTTAAATGTACATACTGCATGTGTACA